ATTGTGGGTGTGGTGTATGAATGTTAATACTTTGTAATAATTCTTTAGTATATTACTTGTGTGGTGTAGAAGAGAATTATTTATGTAGAGATACTGCTTGCAAACCAATGATGGTAAGATGATGTCATGGGGTAGGACTGGATAAGTCTGACTTCTTCCTACTCCATTCAAGCATGTTCTAGGTATAAGCAAATTGATATTGGATTAGCATTTGTTGGATATGTGTGAAATTACATGTGTGTTGTCATATCAACTGTTTTACATGCTTGAAAGAATAAATCAAATCAAATCAAATCAAATAATAAAAAAAAACAGCTAGTACCGTAAGTGAAGGAGGAGTTGAGATTACTTTGTCTAACATAGTCATCCCAAGATACCTGCATTGCAAACTTCATTGTATACAGTGTTTTGTTAAAGCAGCATTCATTGATATTTGGCCACTTACTGTAGGGACAGTAGGACAAGCTGTTAACAAACAAGTCACCGTGGTTTAAAATTGTTATGGGGAAAGTGTTAGCAAACATTAGCATTTCATGTTTCTGGTGACCTGATGAATGTTAAGTGCAGTCATAGTCCTTTCAGATCAGGTTTGAGCTCCACTTATACCTGAGAAAAATACATTCCTAATGTCTCTTGGTCTGTTTGGTGCTGGGCAGGTAGTCTGCAGTGGGTTTTAAGTGTTTTTGTTTTTCTGCTGAAAACTGCTTGATGCTGCCGCAAGACACATAATTAAAAATATTGATAACTGACACTTTGGGAGTGCTATTTTTTACACCTATGTAAATATATGGTTTCAGAAATGAACCATGTAATCATCAACATACTTCACCTGGCAAACCACCTGTCAGCATGTCCTGGACTTACTGGTTTTTACAGTAGGGTTAAGCAGCAGGTCAGTGTCATAGTCTGGGGTTGAGTGAAGAAGTTACTGATTAAAAAGATGGAGTTATGTTCACACGTTAAGCACATTAAGATGGAGCATGAGATTGATAGGTGGGCTGGTATGATATTTGCATTTGTGCAAATATTATACTGGTCTATTGATGGTGATATAGCCACCAGTTTACACTCCAACCCTCTCCTTTGGTCACAAGTTTGGACTGAAAAAATAAGTTCACAGACACAAGTGGACAAAACTAGCAGGTACTGCACCCTCATCCTGATGAGCAGTGTGAGGATTTCCAGATATCTGGAAGGATTTTCAAGTATTACCACTGTCCCTTCACACTGAAAGGAGCCTGCTGAGGTGCTTCAGACTTCTAATCAGGATACTTCCCCATGGAGGTATTCTGGGCACGTCCAATTGGCAGGACACCCAAGGGCAGACCAAAGCATGCTGGAGGGACTATGTATCTAGCCCAGCCTGAGACTGTCCTCTCCCAGAAGGACGTGACTGGGGAGACAGGTGACCGGCTACTTTGCTGACACTGCCACATGAACAGTGACAAGCTAAATAAAATGACTAGATGGAAAAAAATCATCTTATTCCTAGCTAGAGGGAAAGGGATGCTGTTTTGCAGCACAATTTCTTTTTGATTTATGCTGACAAGACAAGTGTATTTTTACCTAAAAGTCTCAACCAGGCCAGCTTCAAAGAGCAATACTGATGGGGAAAAGGAGACAGCAACAGATGCAGCTGACTTAACAAACCTACATTCCAAGGTTACAGAGGGACTACACACTGACAAAACAAAACTGCTTGAATACGTGCAATTAAAATCAATGCTCTACTCTCCATTCTCTCCTAATGTGAATGAGGTGCAGTAAGAGACTGGTGCACAGCCCTGGCAGAGAATCACACATGATCAGACACAGCCCTCATTACTGCTGTCATGCGTACACTGTGACATCTCCATGCAACATGTCCAGCTTCAAGCACATAGCACACACAGTTATGTTTTATCCTTTAGTGTAGCCTGGATCTTCAGGGGTAATGCTAAGACAGCAGATAACCCAACAGAGGGGCTGGACTCGGAAGCAATAGCTGCTACACCAAACTCACTGCGGAGCGGAGCTGCTACGTAAATTAAAGAAGTGCTGTCATGGAGGAGCCACGAGGTGATTGAGACAGGATGAAGAAGGAAAGGTCATGAGAGTCCTTGCTGATTTGAAAGGTTTGCTCTTCTCAAAGGGTGAAACAGGCAAAGTAAGGCTGGCAAATAGTATCAATCAATCATACATCAAAAATGTCATTGTGAAAAACTGCGTCATGCCTGCCATGGCAAAGGTGCATGAGAATAAGTGCATCTGATTTTTTTTAACAATACCAGCCACATATAACAGTCTGATCCAGCTAAAACTAGGTTTGCCACCAGGGGCTCGCTGACTGAATTCTCACTTTCTGCTCCCGACACCATTACTCATCATTACAGCTCCACTGCAGCTGGCTCTGTCCTGTCCTCTACACCCAGCACCAGTCCTGCCCTAAACTGACATTCAGCTTGATTAGCCTAATCAGAGGGATTAGCCAAAGGCAGAGGCAATGAAGGAGGGATAGGGAGGCTGGACAAGGTCTGAGCAGGGGAAGTGGAATAGATGAATGGGGGAGAGTCCCTGTGGGTGTGCACATTTCATCTCATCCTCCTCATCTTTAACAGCTGCCTCAGTGAGCTGCCACTGAGGCCTGCTGTCCTTCCCACCGGCAGCTATGCTGGAATTATGACAGACTATCAGCACACACCCTCATACTTACCACTGAAACCACATGGGATTTTGACTCACATATTCATAAATGAAATTTTACCAGTATCAGAATATTAAAATTTAACATCTGTTATAAGTAAATCATGTTCAAAATGCGGTAGGAGGAAAGGTGGGCTTCACAAAAAGAACAGACTTACAATCATTTCTGAATGCTTATTGTAATTTAGGGGGACTAAAGGCTATCCTAGCATGTATCTATCCTTGGTTATTTGACTTGTAAATTATAACAACACCCGTTCATTCAAACAAGAAGTAGAGAGCGTCCCAGCAATTCATTTCCACGTTTACTATCTGCCTCTGAAAGAAAGACACTTTAGGCTTTTCCCATTTAGGGGTCACCACAGCGAATCCTCACACTGACGACTCGCATGCGTTTTACACCGGATACCCTTCCTGACACAACCTGGGGCACCGCAGCGAGACTGCTGTGCCTTAACCACTAGCCTACCAGTTTACTATCTGCCTCTACTGACTGTTGAATAAGGATGAAAAGACAAAATAAATCCTAAACGAGAGCAGTTCAGAATCTTTAAGGTACAGGGCAGACTACACTTGTGCTTTATGTATAGGAGTAACAAAACACAAAGATTCACAGACTCATAGACAAAGATGTATAGCAGTGAGTTGATGATTTGCATGAAACATGTAATGGATTGTGCATAGGAAAAACAGTGTCTCTGCCAAAATGATTTATTTTGTATCGTCACACAACACCTCACATTTTAAAAAATGTAGATGAGGGTGACTCCAGGACTGGCTGATTTTAGAGGAAGTTGCCACTGTTTAAAAACTTTTTTTTCCTGTTTCTTATCGAGCAGGCATTTCCTACAGCACCTATACCAAGTACCACAAGTACCAGAGTTTAACTCTAGTCTAATGTTTGCAGCTTTGGCCATCCAAAAATGCATCAACACCGGGGAAACTAATTAAATGGGCATTTCATCATTTGTTTAGCATCTGAATTGGGTCTCTGTGTGACCGGTCATCCTCGACACATGGCCCTATGGGAGTGAAATCCTCTGCGCCAGTAAGCGTTAAAATACACTCAACAACTGTCCAAAAAGAAGGACTTTTCACCTAAAATAAACAGCTTTCTGTGACATGTTAGGAAGACAAATTCATCCAGAGTTTTGTGTCACAGGGCCTCTGCTGTCTGCTGCTTTTGCCCCAGGGATAAAGCTTCAGAGCTGAGCAACGGGAGCTGACAGGACGTGGGCGAGTGGGAGACACTGATGAGAGCGGATCAGAGAGGGTGGCAGGTGACGGGGGCGTCGTGCTGTTGACATGACAGTGCAGCGGCATGTCTTTTTCACCCAGATGAACGGCACTGCGGCTATTCGAGAAGCCCCTGCCCTCTACATCCACTACCAACTTAACATGAGAACCTCACTATACCATAGATACAACAGAGTTCGAATCAGTTATTAACCCAAAAGTGTGGTGCTTCAACTAAGAGTCTTCCAACGTAATCTGTTTATCACAGAACTCTCACAGTCCTCGTCTTTCATGTAAATGCCTATAGATGGAAGCATACCTTCATAAAAATATGTTTTATTTGGGGTAAGCTGAGGATAAACAGAAAGCATCAGACATCTTCTGTGCTGCAATGACAGCAAACACACCTTTTGTTCTCACTGGCTGCAGGCGAACTACAAGTTGTTAAGCGATGCGTCAAAACCATTTGATGCGGTTCCCTGCTGCAGTTCAGAACTCGTGAATCTTCGAGGATCAGACTCTGAAAACAGTACATTCTGGTCTGGAGTCTGATTCTTTAAGCACTCTGATTGCTGTCGGCACTAATGGTGTCACAGTAACTCACCAGAAGTTATGTTTCTAATTACACTTTCTATTTTCTAAAATACATCCTCAACCATTTTATTCTAAGTCATATTCAGATATCATATATTCAGATATCATTGGGAGTAACTTGAAAACATGCAGCTGGTCAGCAATAAGACAAACATAATTTAGTGCTGAAAAGGCAGATCAGCTCTTAATAAACAATGATTGTCAATGACTTTTTCAAACTTCAATGACTTTCAATTAATATTTTAATCATTTGCCCAGAATTAGTTCATTTCATTGCTTTCTGTGCTGCTGGCGTTGTGTCTATACCTGAGACAGACATGACATTTCTACTTATATTTTTAGGAAATGTTGGCCTACTCAGAAATGCCACCATTTGCATATTGATTGATTTTTTGATTCACCCATAGTATAAAACAGTCGTGGATTTTGTCAGTGTTGTTTTTCTTTTCTTGCTTCTATGTGGAATATTTAAGTTCTGTCCTTATAGTTCCTGTTAAACAACGAATGATGCAAATATTACCACCTTTTGTTGTGTTTTAGTGGCCAGTCTTTATGTATTTTCTGGCAAGTCGTCATCATGCTAATGTGCCATGCTGTATTATTAGCAGACTGCACTGTAATCATGGATTTACACACGACACTGCTATTAAGAAACAATGACCAGTGCTGAGTCTGAGAAGAAGAGCTTCGATGCAAATTGTGTTGATCGGGTTCAAAGGGCTAAGCCATTTATCAGTTAAACATGACCAAATATTCAGTCTTTCCAGAATCCCATATTTGTAGAATTATAGCTTTTCTCTGACACCTATAGACTAAATAATTGATTCTTCCTAGTCAACGGATCAGTCTGTAATGAAAATTATGATTAGTTCCAACTCTAAATCAAGTAATTTCAGTAGCTTCAGGTATTAGCAGTACTGTATTTCTTACAGAGCTGCTTGGAGGCAAAAATACTGCCAGTGACTGAACTACGCCTCAGTGCAGGGGTGGAGCTTATATTGGACAAAAATGATGTAGACTAGCTACAATAGTGTTATTTAGGCCCATTGGTGGAAACTAACTAAGTACAATACTGTACTCAAGTATAATTTTAAGGTATCTGTGCTTTACTTGAGTATTTTCTGCAACTTCATACTTCGTCTTCATGACACTTTACAGGCAAATACTGTACTTTTTTTCTCCACTATATTTATTTGATAACTTTAGTTACTAGTTACTTTTCAGAATCAGATTGATAAAACAAAATACTGTATATTCATAAGATGTCAGAGGCAGCAAAGTCACAGGTTACCCAGCAGTACTTCAAATAAGTATAATGTAGTTAAAATGTGCTCCACCTTTACTAACTGTTATATTAAATGTGATGAACACAATAAAGCATCAATAATTATAATCCAATAACATAATATTAATACATTAATGTGAAATGTGCCATTCTGCATAATGAGTACTTTTACTTTTGTTACTTTAAGTATATTTTGATGCTAATACTTTTACTTAAGTAACATTTTGAAGGCAGGACTTTTACTTGTAACTGAGTATTTTTACGCTGTAGTACTGCTACTTTTACTTAAGTAAAAAAAATGAGTAATGTTTCCCAACCAGTAAGATTATTTCTGACTCCAGAGCCGCAGCGCTTATGTTTGTAACTCAATTTCCAGTGTTCCTCACTGACATAGATTTGATGTCGTTTCAGAGGATGACCCACCTGCACATTTTGTCCTGCTGATGAGAGGGGGTCCAGGTGCTCCAGTGCCCCCCTCCCCCGGCCTGGTGAGCAGGACACTGATGCGGTACTCTGTGTCTGGCTCCAGATGCCAAACTTTATAGGTAAGTGAGCCCACGCCATGAGTCTCCATCCATGTGGACTGGCTGGCTCGATACTGTATTTCCCGCCGAATGACCGGCCCATCCCCAACAATGGAGTTAGTGTTGAGCTGGATGATCAAATAGGTGGGGCCTGCCCGCAAGAGCTGGGGGGGTGCAATCGGTGTAGGGGGCACTGCAAGCAGAACATCATGTCATCATACACATAGATGTGTAATCGTATGAGAATAAAGCTCTTGCTACTGTTTATGAGTGATATTGCTTAGAAACAACTGAAAACACTAATGAAAAACAGTCCAGTCCTGGTATTTTCAGTGAGAAGGACTAAGTCACGCAAGGAAAGGAGAAGTGAAGATCTCAAAGATTCTCTTTTCTTTTTATCTCTTTTTTAACATTTCAATAACATTATTTCTGCTCTGCTAGAGCACTGAGTCATAAAATTCTTTTAATCACATCAGGACTGTGAGACAACAATAGAGAGGGAGGGAGAGAGGGCGAGTGTTGAATGCTGCAGATTCTCAATGTTCTATCTAATGATGCTGAATAAAAACTTATTTGCATGAATAATTGCTTAACTAATTCTGTCCTCTCTGCACATAAAAACAGTCATGATGGATATTATGACCTTATCTACCTGGTGAACATCAGATTAATTCATCACATGATGCATGGCTGTTGATTGATGCATTACACAGTGACTACACCTAGTTACAGTGTTTTATGAAGTGATTTACTGAGACATGAAACAAGAAACATTATGAATGCTTGTTTGTTTAATTAAAGCAATAACTCTGCATTTTTGAAAACAGACTTATTTGCTTTCTTTTATAGAATAAGGTTTTGGTGTCATGTCTGAAAATGAGTTAGTGATCAGCCAAACTATGAGTAAAGAATCAAGCCTACTAATTAACAAAGTCTTTGTTTTCATCAAGTTATACAATATAAAGAGAAACAGAAAAACAAACAATAAAAAAACTTTCAAGCCACAACTATTTCTTAACAGTTTATCCATCTGCTGAGTGAGTACTTCTGTGCAGCAGCTCCAGTGGACCTATGTTTTTGATGTAGTTTGTGAGAAATACAGTCTGTCATATTAAGTAGGTTACAGCTGCTATTTCAATGTTTGAGACACACAGTTTATCAACATGATTGGATTCTGTATTGGCAGATACTCAACGTTAAAGGACTCAAATTAGGATCAGAACCAAAAGAATTGTGCTGGGTTGGGCCCTTACTATACTGTAGGTATATGTAAAATACCACATGACAAGCTACTTGAGTTATTGCTACTGCCCACTGAAAACATGTGGTAGCTAAACAAATCCTGACTGCAGCTCGTTTTCTCATCTCACTCTCCAGCAACTATATTTTCCAAAATGTTGACCTTTTTTTTTTTTTTTTTGCCTGTGCTAAAGTGTTTGCATGGTCCTAAATTAAGCTCACCTCTGACGATGAGTTCTCCAAAGTTGGAGACGGCAGCCCCTCTGGGGGACAGGGTGATGCAGCGGTACAGGTCCTGCTCCCCACGCTGCGCCTCCACCTGGAAAGTCGCCATCAGCCGCTTGTGGCTCAGCCGTGACAGTAGGAACATATCCAGCACCATGCCGTTTCTCCGCTGACAGCAACACAAAGACCACCGGGAGAGAGATCATCTGTGAGCATACCAGTCCAACCACACGTGTTTACCTTAAGTCTATTCAAATGATTAAAAATGGGCAGCAGGCTGAGAAGCAGACAAGAAGACAAAGAAGGATTGGAATTATCTGCAGGGGAAGGCAAGATAATAAATATGTGATAAATGTCACTGGTAACAATAGTGTTTTTGCTTGTGAAAGCTGGTGTTTGAAGGCCACGATATGCTAACCCCTGGACATAGGAATAAAGCTTACCTCTCACACTAAGGTGGCATATTTGAAACATATTAAAGCTCCAAACACTGCTTGAGGTTGTATGACGGAGATATTCACTCAGTAATTGACTA